ACACAGCAGATGGTGGGGGGACAGACTTGAACTTGGTTCCAGCACAGCCCCATGGCCTTTCACACAGCTGATCGGCACGACCTGGAACTGCACTGCGGGAACATCTCCCCTGGCCACAGCCCGCCCCCCTCAGCGCGTCCTCTCCTCCTGCATCTTTCTCTGCTGTGATCTCTGTGGAGTTTGCCATTCACTCGATTCTCCCATCTCCCCAAAACTCTCTTCTGAATCTTTTGCTTTAATCAGAAGTGTGCTCAAATACATCCCATCCTCAGAGTCCCGGCCTCCCCCCTCCTCCCGGCTTCCTCCCCTACTGCGGAGCTGCCGGGGCTGTCACCACTCCCCACCTCTCTGCCGGCTGAATCCGCCCGCCCGTCTCCCCAGAGGAAGCCCGGCAGCGCCGTAGGACTTGCCCGCCCTGACCTCCACAGAGCGCCGGGGCTGGGCTTCCTCTCCCGTCCCTCCTGGCTGCCGGGCCACTGGTTCCTCTCCCTCCTTTCCGGCAGCTCCTTCCCAGCCTACTTCAAGGCCTCTTCCTCTAAATGGCCGCCTTTCTATTTTATGAAAGAAGGCGAGGGGCTGCGCCTTGGCCCCCAGCCCACACAAGCACTGTTATGCTGAAGGAAAGCTGTTGAATTCTGTGGAGCTGAAATTCTGTATAAATAGACACATTTACAACTTCCTGTCCATTTAGCTATCAATCATTCTAACAAAGGTAGTACTAATAATAACTTGCACATGGAGCAATTCACAGCTTGCAAAACACTTTCACATGCCCTTCAACGTCCGTATCTGTGTGCAGTGAAAATATTGTTATGTCTGCACAGAATTAAACAGGCGCCGTTAAATTCAGCTCGCTTTGCCAAGGTGCTGGGGACGGCATTCTCAATGAGCTTTGTTTTGATGAAGAGCCGTTGCTTGGCCCTCTGTGTATTGTTAGCCAGGATCACGTTCCCCGTGCCCCATTCAGTTCTGGTGATTGACAGGTTATTGGTCCTTGGGACAGGGCCAAGTGACCCTCATCGTTTCAATAACGTGCTCCTAGGGTTTTAGGAGAGGCCAAGGGCTGTCCAGAAGATGTGGGAAATCTCCGCACATGCAGGTAGAGGCCCAACTGCGGGCTCTGAGACACTAGGATCAGGATAAAATGTAACCAGACCTACGTAGTTTCTGACACTCTCTGTGGGTCATGCTTTCTAAAGGAGACTGGATGATCTAAACCAAGATGGCAAGTACTTGTATCTTGTGTGCTGCGAGTCAGTAGGATCTACTTCAGGTGCAGTGCTGCGGGGGATCCTGAGGCCCAGCCCAGGCTCCCTGGAAAAGACTCGTGATTAGGCAGCACTGCCTGCTGTAGGTGAGGACGCGGTGGCGTGTGCCGCATCTCTGCCGTAGCTGCTTTAAGCTGCCTTTGAAAGGCGATGAGCTACCTGAAAAACTAAACCGGAGCTATCAAGGGGGTTGCTGAGGACAAGCATTCAGGTGGCTCCAGCCATTTCACCAAGCAGAGAGCCCGGGGTTTCTTTCCTAGTTGTGGCTTGCTGGGACTTAGCTTCAGGATTGTCAAATATTTGAGTCAAAAGCCACATGGATAAGGGTTTTCTGATGTCCCTCAGGGGCTCCCACTTCCTGGGGTGCGTGCTCTGTCCACTTCCCGGGTTCTTTGCAGTGTTCTTTCTTACTGTGTCTTTGCTCTGCTCAGGTGCTGTGGGAGGCTTTCAGGGACAGCTTATGTCTCTGGTGGTGAGTCCTGTTCCTCTCCTAGGTGACTTCTGGTGAATCGTCAGCGGTGAATCCCACTGTCCTGCCCTTGACTCCTGACTCTCTACTTGAATCCCTGTCTGGGGCACACTCACCCGCATTGGCCCTGGGGGGGTTTGGAGGCCTCGGGCCTGCACGGTAGATGTACCCGAAGCAGCTGGGTTTACCTGCAAATCAACCGTCCTGGTGGAAAGTACAGAGCAGCAGGTGCCTCTGCCTGGTTTGCCATCATTTTTACTTAGAGGCTCAGTCTCCATGGGGAGCAGGTTCTCCATCAGCACACACATGCTTCAACCAAAACCCACTCTCCACAGAATAATCTAGTACTTCCTCTCCGAATTCTTTGACACTTTGGAGTATTGTGTCAGGTTATAGTTGGATAATTTTATATGGGTGCCAAAAACAATTTGTGTAGGAAGAAAACCAACACTCAGCACCTCAAGCAGAGCAGTCCCCTGGCCTGGGTCCGCCTTTGCTGCTCGTGGGTATGGCACTGACCATGCCTTTTACTTTTTGCATGTTTGCTCTGTGGGATGGTGTGATGTACAAGCCATTGGAGAGGGCCAGAGCTGTAGAAAAACCTCCCCCTGAAGTGTACTGATATCTGCAGTTGACTCTTAAATGCATTTTAAAAAATATATGGGTGATGGATGGGGGGCTGGATGGATGTGGGATAAAGGAACAGGTAACGTACTAAGGGTGGAATGTGGGTGGTGAGATGAATGCTCACTGTATACTTCTTTCAGCTTGGCTGCCGGTATGGAAATTTTTGTAATAGAATGTTGGGGGGAAATTACCCCCGACAGTGAACCATGTTAATTTAAAACAGGCTCTGGACCAGTGTGGTGGTCCCTGAGGCTGGAGACTGAGGGAATTTTGTGATTGGAGCCTAGAGCTGTTTCATTTGGGAAGACTTCCCGTGGGGAGTGGTTTCCTGCTGGCCAGGGCTTGGAACTGGTGCTGTTCACAGACTGGTGGAGAGGAGAGATTGCAGTCCTCCTGCCCCAGGTCGAGCTATGCACCCAAAGCCATTCTCCTCCCCCCTCCTCTCCCCCAGCAGGGGTGCTGCTCTCTCCTGTGGCTCACACGTCACACTACCACACACCAGCTTCCAGGCAGTTAAACCGCACTGCACAGCCTCCTCCTGGCCCAGCCTGGCTTTCCTCACCTCTCCTGGAGGGCAGCAGTCTGCTTGGCACTGCCTGTGAGATGGGAGGGCGCTCTGGCCCAGCACATATCTGCTGTGGCTCTGAGCCCCTGGCCCAGCGAGTGGAGAGGCTGTTGGCCTGGCAGGGTCGGGAGGCCTGGCTGCTCCAGATGGCCTCCCTGCCACCTGCATGGTGTCCGCACTGCAGAGCTGACCTGCTCACTGAGAGGGCAGGGGGCAGGAAGTAAGTGGTGGCGAAGAGGCTTCCTGAGGTTAGGTCCTGACCAGAGTTGTGGGTCACACTCACTGGTGGTCTCACAGAAGATGCTGGGATCCGGCTCCCAGGATAGCTGACTCAGGTGTGGGAGTGAAATGCAAGACCCCCACCTGTCTGATGCCCATCCGCACCCATCCTGTCTCCTGCCCATGTGTAAGGGGGAGCTCAGTGAATACACATTCTTGATCCTGTTCATTTCAGCTTTAGCAAAATGGCATCAGGAAGGAAAATATGCTGTGACAATAGTATTAGGAGGAGTTTTAAAAATTAAGTGCCATTTATAGCACTGCTTTCAGCCTCTGTTAGTGTAGAGACTTGTGAATCCACCAACTGTCTGGTTCCTGGCCCCTTGGCAGATGGCACTCTCCATGCTTCTCACCGCCCATCACATGTGCACACACCCACTTACAGGTGCCTGGTGCACACGTTCACTCTGTCATACACACACTCAAACACGTGCCTGGTGCACATGCTCACTCATACACATGTGCCTGGTGCACACACATTCACACACATGCCTAGTACACATGCTCACTCACACAAACATGCCTGGTGCACACACACACACACTCAATCCTCTGAGCTGAGCGCTTCCCTGCCCTTGCCACGTGCAGAACCTTGAGGGGATGCCCAGCTCCACTCTCCCGCTGCCCTGCAGGCCCATGAGGGGTCCCTCCTGCAAGGGGAGAAGGATGACCTCAGCTGGTTCCCATCTTGGTTCCAGCCTGCTCTGTCCTTTCTTTCCTGAGGCAGTAGATCCTGTAGTCAGACCACAGACCTGGAGTCACATTCCCTGGTTGGCGTACTGGCTTGAGGGTTGCTGGCTGTGTGACCTTCATGGAGCTGCTCCACCTCTCTGTGTCTCAGTTTCATCACTTGGGAAGTGCGGAGGAGAAGGATCCCTCGCCTGAGGGCAGTAAGATTCAGTTGCTTTTATGCTGTGAAGCCCGAGTGTGTGCGGTGAGCACCGATCAGTGTTGGCCACCCTGCTCTCGCACCTGCTCTGCCGTTGCCCACTCTGGGCTGCTGGTCCAAGGCCAGAGCAAGAACTCAGCATCTCGCCAAGCCCAAGGAGACAGCTGTGTTAAATTGTTATGGTGCTGAACCAAATTCCCACAAATTTAGTGACTTAAAGAGACACAAATTTATTCTTTCAGTTCTGGAAGTGAGAGTCCGAAGTCATTTTTACTGGGCTGAAGTCAAGGCATTGGCACTCCCTCCCGACGCCCCGGAGGATCTGGGGCGGCAGGATCTGGGGGAGCACGTGTTCCACCATCTCCATCTTCCTGCTACATTCCTTGGCCAGTGGCCTCTTCTGCCTTCAAAGGCAGCAGTACAGTGTCTTGGTTCTGTTGGCCCATCTCCCTTTGCTTCCCCTTAAATGGACCCTCGTGGTGGCACTTAGGACCCCCTGGATAATCCAGGAGAATCTGCCCGTCTCAAAGTCCTTCGCTCAGCTGCTCTGCAGAGCCTCTTTTGCCACCTGAGGTCACGTTTGTAGGTTCTGAGGATGGGGCCATGGACATGTTTAGGGACTAAGCCACACACCCACCAAGGCAGGAAGCTCTCTGGGTCCTGGTCCTGTGACAAGGCTTGGCCAAGTTCTGGACCAACTTGGTGCACAGGCCCAAACCCAGCCGGCCACACAGCTGCCCTGTCACTCTGGGGCAGCTCTAGGTCCTCTGTCTGCCCAGACAGACTCGGAGGGCACAGTGTCTCATTCGGTTGGGTCCCCAGTGCCTGGCACATGTTGGGTGCGGGGTGAGTGGTTATGTGTTCCTGCAGCCAGGTGCTGATGTGCTCTGTGTCACCTTTTAGGCCATGGCGAATGTCACTGTGGAGAATGCAAGTGCCACACAGGTTATATCGGAGACAACTGTAACTGCTCAACAGACATCAGCACGTGCCGGGGCAAGGACGGCCAGATCTGCAGCGACCGCGGGCACTGCGTCTGTGGGCAGTGCCAGTGCACAGCGCCAGGAGCCTTCGGGGAAACGTGTGAGAAGTGCCCAACCTGCCCAGATGCGTGCAGCACCAAGAGGTAATGGCCCTACCCACAGCCCCTCCCTCCAGCTCCTCACCCCAGCCAGGCCTGCGTTCCAGCAGGTCAGCCCTCAGGGCTGGCCATCCTCCCTTCCCAGCCCAGCCTTGCTGAGGAGCGAAGCTTTTATTAACATGAACTAAAATAGCATCTTTGAGATTCCGGTTCCATGGCAATTTTGTAAGAAAATAACCAAACAGAAAAAAAACCAAGACTGCTATTCTATTGCTAAACAAATTTAGAAATTACAAGATTACTGAGTTAAATGAAATTAAACTGGTTGTGATACCAAAATAACATCATCTCAGAGCCATTAGTGTGCTATTGAGTATTTCAGAAGGGGATTCAGTGTGCATCTTGCCTCAAATGCATTTGATCCCCCCCCCAATTTAACATTTCCTAAACACTGTTTCATAGGACACTATAGGAAATGCTGCTTGAAACAAAACATAATCAGAAGGTAAATGGGGTGGGAGGGCACCCAGCCTAGATAAGGCACGCCAAGACAAGCTGCCCTGGCGGCTGCATTTTCTGCTCCATTTGTACAGATAATGGACCGCTGGCTCTGTGCGGCTGATGAATGCACAGATTGTCCAGACCGGGCACTGGGCCTTCCCTGACTCAGCCGTGGGGTCACATTCCCTGGGCTGACCTCCCACAGCTCTGCCCTGAATACCGCCAGTGAGAGGGAGCTCAAGAAACCAAGGAGTTATGCCACCAGGAAAGCGAGAGTGGCAGTTTCTCTTTAATTTTATTGGAGAAAGAGCTATGTCATCACCATCTGTGCTAAGGGGCCAGCAGGGAGGGAAGCAGAGGCACAGATAATCAGAAACAAATAATAACACAGACGGCATTTCTGGGGAACGCAAATGTGCAATTTTCTTTTGGCAGATTTCCCCTCCAAACGTCTGGCTCAGGCTGATAATGAAATGAGTTCATGCTCCCGAGCCTGCCATGGCTGCTGGTCAGTCCGTGTGCAGAGACGTTCGGGGTGGCAGGACCCTGGCTGGACACTTGCCACAAACAGTCCAGGCGTGGGTAATTGGAAGCTGGCTGCAGATGGAGAGACAAGATGGACAGGGCCAGCTTTTACTTTGTGTAATCAGAGGGGAGCTGGGGAGAGTAAGGGAGACGAAAAACAGATCCACTTTAGACCTGCAAAGAGGAGAGGAACTGCAGAAATTCAAAGGGAAACAACCCAGGGATCCAGGGCCGCGGATACTGGATCTGGAGCCCAAAAAGCCATGGCCATCTGGGTGTGGAATTATAGCCATAATGTACATTTTCTGTTGGAGGGAGGTGCCTCCCCCAGCTCCCACCAGCAGAGCCCTTCAAGTGTATGTTCCCAATGCTTGGGGCACACGGAGCTTGTGGGGGGGGTAGGGCCAACCCAGGACAACACACGTGGAATCAATAAACATAGATCAAGCCCATTTCTTCCCTTTCTCTGGAGCAACAAGGCAACATACTACTGGCTTAGGTCAGTTAAAAAATCCCAAGGGAAGACAGCCCTAGCTTCAAATGTTTAAAGCATTCATTTCCTAGAAGACACAGACTTGATCACTTGTTATCTACTAAGCAATACCAAAGGAGCGAGGAGAGCACACGGACCCTCCCTCTTTCATGGCCTAGTTGCAACTTTTAAAAAACAAACACACAAATCCCCTTTAATGTGACTTATACCAGCCTTTTATCTTGCTGCTCTGCTGAGAGACGCCTTATGTCTTTTCCCTCCCTGGGTTTCCAAGCAGCCCATCTCTTTCTAGAGCCACACAAACCCTTCACCTGGGAGGAGTTCACTCAGTCTCAGCTGATTTCAATGAACATATTTTGTGCAGAGTCTCTCTCAGCGGCTTGCTTGTTTAAAAGACCAGACTTATTTTAACATGACTACCATATATCAAGTTTCAGCCTAGTACATGAATCACACAGGTTAGACTGACATGTCTTCGTGGCTAATCAGGGAATGTTTCCTAGAAACGGTCCTGTGGTTTAATGACAACAGGGGTGCGGACAGAGGGACAGTGAATCCCAGCTAAGACCGGAAGCAGCTCCCGTCTTTGCAATGTGTTAATCCAGGAGGCTGGAGGGGGGAGGGGAGCTGGGTCAGCAGGAATGACCGGGGCTGGAGCCACCCCTTCTGGACCCCAGCCAGGTCTCCCATGCCTGCCCTCTGGAGCCC